CAGTTCTTGGCTGCAGCCTTTGCATTGTAACTTTGCAGGGGCTGATCTGTCTCAAACGTTTGCTAGAAAGTTACAATGTTGCAGACTGATCACTGGTGGAGAGGAGACTGAGGAAATGCTTAATTCTGCCTGCAGGAGACTGATCATTAGGGGGAGACTGAAGAAATGCTTCCTCCTGCCAGCAGCAGGCTGATCACTGGGGGAGGGGAGACTGAGGAAATGCTGTGTCCTGCCTGTAGCAGACTGATCACTATGGGAGGCGAGACTGAGGAAATGCTTCCTCCTGCCTGAAGGAGACTGATCACTACGGGAGGCGAGACTGAGGAAATGCTTCCTCCTCCCTGCAGGAGACTGATCACTATGGGAGGCGAGATGGGAGGCGAGACTGAGGAAATGCTTCCTCCTGCCTGCAGGAGACTGATCACTATGGGAGGCGAGACTGATGAAATGCTTTCTCCTGTCTGTAACAAACTGATCACTGGGGGAGGGGAGACTGAGGAAATGCTTCCTCCTGCCTGCAACAGACTGATGACATCATCTCAGTCTAGATAAAGGCTTTTTAATGGTGGAGCTCTTCTGAAAAATGATGCTGTTGCTATGGCGACCTGTCCGGAATTTCTTTATACAGAGTTGTAGAGTTACAGAAAGTTCCCATTGAAGTAAACATTTCCAGTTGCGAGGGCTGATCCGTGGAAATCATAGCGGAGGCATTCTCTCTCTTTCCGGTTCTGGGAGGACAATGAGCCAATGAAGACGCTCTGATTTTCCCTCCAAATTGGCGTTGTTTGTATAAAGTTACCTCACAGGAAGCAATGTGACACTCTGATGTGAATCACCTACAACCAGTCGCTGGTGGTGTGGGAACGCGGCCCATGTGACAGCTGACCAGGGGGGGCTCCCCCGCCTCGCATAGCCGAGAAGCTGCGGTTTCCCCCGCTGACCTGAGGTTTGCTTTTCAAAGAGACGCGATGCATAACTTCATATCTCTGACACCAGGGACGCTTTGGTGGGAAAACATAGCAATTCCACACAAAAACATTTTTCTTTCTTTTTGCTTAATTACTCGGTCAGCTGTCACACCGGAAAAAAGGGTCATTAATTAAAGTAAATAAAAACATTTTGTACATGTCTGCAGTACGAGCGCATGTCCCGGTGTTTTATTTCTTTATATACTCTGCATGTGCAAAAAATAACTTTCAATGATCCAGACATGTAGTGAGCTCTTTGAACTTCCTCTTTTACGTGACAACACAGCTCTGAATTCCCAAGCACGTGGTGTCAGCCCTGCCAACTTCACTTCAGATGGATTACAAAGAACACAGCCCTCTCCTCATCTCCTCCCCCCTTCGCATCTCCAGATCCTTTACTCATCTCCATAGGAAACTTTGGCGAAACGGGTTGGAGGGCTGGACCTCCTGCACATTGAAGTTATGGATTCATTTATTCTTTATAGAATGGACTGTCACAAATCTTTTATGTAACCTGATGAGTAGAAAGCGTACCGAGCTGATAGGTAAGAATAATGTGCGTGTATGAGTCATCATTTCTGTGAAGGAAGATGTTGCTGGTACATATATCAGTATGAGCAATATTTGTATGTGTTGTAATATTGTTTTATTGTACTATATTGCCAAAAGTATTGGGCCCCTCCCCCTCCAAATCATTACATTCAGGTGTTCCAATCCCCTCCATGGCCACAGGTGTATAGGATGAGGCACCTCGGCATGCAGACGCTTCTACAAACGTTTGTGAAAGAATGGGTCGCTCTCAGGAGCTCAGTGACTACAAGCGTGGTGCCGTGATATGTTGCACATAAGTCCATCCGTGACATTTCCTGGCTACTAAATACTGTTACTGGGATTATAACAAAGTGGAAGCAACTGGGAACAACAACAACTCAGCCACGAAGTGGTAGGCCACGTCACATGACAGAGCGGGGTCAGCACATGGACGCTGGTGCCCGGCGGGCCGGTGTAATCCTCCCAGTGACTCAGCTGAGCGGCCGGCATCACTTAAACTCATTACGAAAGGTCATTTGTGTCTTATCAGCATCTCTCCATCCTGCTGCGGCCGGCCCGCATTATATTCAATTATTTCAGACGAAGCCTCTCAGCGGGATCCTGGAAATGGGCCGTTTACAGGTGGAACACCCAGCCGGATGGATGACAAGGAGACGGTTTCAGGATGAGGTCAGCGAAATCAGAATAACGCCCGGCTCTGTGCCGATCGCAGTGCTCAGAGGAGGCGGCAACGCGACGCACCTTCATAATGCGACGGCATGCAAAACAAAATGGCCGCCTGTAGGCAGGAATGGAAATCTGTTTAGCCTGAGCCGGCGCCCTTACCTGTTGCAGGACGCGAAGGACCCCGGCGCCCCGTAAGGCTGCCCTGTCATCAGTCTGGTTCAGGCAGGAGGAAGCATTTCCTCAGTCTTCCCTCCCCCAGTGATCAGTCTGGTTCAGGCAGGAGGAAGCATTTCCTCAGTCTCCCTTCCCCCAGTGATCAGTCTGCTGCAGGCAGGAGGAAGCATTTCCTCAGTCTCCCCTCCCCCAGTGATCAGTCTGATGCAGGCAGGGGGAAGCATTTCCTCACTCTCCCCTCCCCCAATGATCAGTCTGCTGCAGGCAAGAGGAAGCATTTCCTTAGTCTCCCCTCCCCCAGTGATCAGTCTGCTGCAGGCAGGAAGGAGCATTTCCTCAGTCTCCCCTCCCCCAGTGATCAGTCCGCTGCAGGCAGGAGGAAGCATTTCCTCAGTCTCCCCTCCCCCAGTGATCAGTCTGCTGCAGGCAGGAGGAAGCATTTTCTCAGTCTCCCCCCCCCCAGTGATCAGTCTGCAACATTGCAACTTTGTACTAAGTCACAAGGTGAGAGGCTGCAGCAGGGGCTGATCTGTGTCAGTCATTTGTGTACAGGAACTGCACAGGCACCGGGATATACATGACTGTGTCATCTCTGAGCCGGCATCTCAGTCCAGGAAGTAGATGGATGATGCCTGGACTAAGATGGTGCTGTCCTTGTGGAGATAAGATCAGATGAAGGCATTGTCAGGGGGAGTCATGTGATCCCTGTGAGAGGTTACACTTAACAAGAAATATATATCTGATGACAGGTGCACTTAAAGAGAAATGTATCCAGCTTCAGGGTTCTTCTATTTCCAACTGCAATTCCCACTCCAGAGCTGGGAGACGGTGTGAGAGGTCTGGACAGTTGTCAAGGAAGTTTGTACCACCCAAGCTGAAGTAAAGCTCAGCTGGAAAGGCATCGAAGTCGCTGGATCACCATGACAGCCAGTCAGCCAGCATTTTCAGAAGGAGGGGTCAGCCCCCGAATCTTCTCTCAGAGCAGGTTTCCTGTGATGCAGCACGATGGCGGTACCGGCCCTTTAAGCAGCGCTGAGTGACACATTCTTTCCAGGCACCAAAATATCACAGCGAAATGAACATGCCGCCCCTGTAACGGGCCAGACACCCTATTATTGGCTGCAGGAATCCCGCTGGTAATCTCCCCCTCCCCCCGCGCTGAGCTATTTCGTGTTTTTATTTTTCCCTAAACAGGGGGGGGCATCGAAAAGGGAGGCGGCGCGGAGTCTAAGTATGCCAGTCCCGGGGGAACAACGCTGGCACGGGCACCAGGCAGGGCTATCACTGGTGTCATGGGTTCAGGTAGAGCTCTGGGGGTGCAGGTGGCAGCCATGACGGCTCAGCATCTTTATCCTGTGCCAGGAATCTGGTCATGTGACCACTTTCTCTGCTGCAAGATTGGATTAAAATGTGAGCTTATAGGTCCCCCTCTCCCCCCCATCTGAAATTATCTCTACCGGGCTGCATGTTGCAGGAGGAAACACTTCCTCAGTCCCCCCCCCAGGGATCAGTCTGCTGCAGGTAGGAGGAAGCATTTTGTCAGTCTCCCCTCCCCTAGTGATCAGTCTGCAACATTGTAACTTTGTACAAGTCGCAAGGTGAGCGGTTGCAGCATGCAGCCTCTCCTGGCTGTCTCTGCTCGCTCTCTCTCCTGACTGTCTCTCCTCGCTCTCTCTCCTGGCTGTCTCTGCTCGCTCTCTCTCCTGGCTGTCTCTGCTCGCTCTCTCTCCTGGCTGTCTCTGCTCGCTCTCTCTTCTGGCTGTCTCTATCTCCTGGCTGTCTCTCCTCACTCTCTCTCCTGGCTGTGTCTGCTCGCTTTCTCTCCTGGCTGTCTCGCCTCACTCTCTCCCCTTGCTGTCTCTCCTCACTCTCTCTCCTGGCTGTGTCTGCTCACTCTCTCCTGGCTGTCTCTGCTCACTCTCCTGGCTTCCTCTCCTGGCTGTCTCTCCTCACTCTCCTGGCTGTCTCTCCTCGCTCCCTCTCCTCTGGCTATCTCTCCTCTCTCTCCCCGGCTATCTCTCCTCTCTCTCCCCGGCTGTCTCTGCTCGCTCTCTCTAATGGCTATTGCCATGCAGCGCTAGAGTGTCCGGGTTTTGCTTGAAGAAAAGGTGACAACCCTAGGCTGATCTTGGTCAGGCATTTGTGAACACAGCCAAGGATTGCACAGACACCGGGAGTCACATGACTGTATCATCTCTGAGCCGACATCTCAGTCCAGGAAGTAGATGGTGACCCTGAGTGATGCCTGGACTAAGATGGTGCCGTCCTTCTGGAGATGAAGTCATGTGATCTCTGTGAGAGGTAATACATACCTGGAAGTGTTACACGGACACATTACAGAAATACAAAACACATATCTAAGGCTGGGGCGATAGAGCGTCTTTGTCGATCACTGTGATAGCTCAATGTGCATAGGAGGATGTTCTAAAGAGAACCTGTCACCTCCCTATACTCCGGCACTCTTAGTAATAGCAGTTCACATTTCCTCAGCTCGGCCTTCTAGAAAGCATTGCAGTATTGAACGGCCAGAGTAAGACATCAGCCTCTCCCCTTCCCAGCCTGCAGGATGTAACACACATTGCAATGTGATCTCACGGGTGTCATAATCCCGTCTGCTCTCTCATGAACTGCTTGTGAAACTGGCTGTCCGTGTTTTCCTCCAGTGACGGCGAATATTCATTTTTATCCTCAGGGAGTATGTAGGTCTTTTTTTTTTTTTAAAGCTGAACTCCGGCCACCAAAACCTTCATTTAAATATATTGCTCAATAACCACCAATGATACAACAACTAAATTTGTATGTGCAGTGTACTGGCGCTTGGCTGTTGTGGCCACCACCCGGCGAGGCCAAGGAGAAGGCTTAGACGCTTCCGCAGGAGGGGGGCGCATAAAGGGCAGGACCTGGAACCTAGTTCACAATTCATGGGGGAGGGGCACACTTTGGTCTTTTCACCTTGGGTGCTAAAGGACCTCGTCCTGGCACTGCCCACCACAACACTACACAAATGTATGACATGACTTGCACCCCGTATGTAGGGTTGTCTTTGGCGGAACACAGGGCCGGATTTACTATCTCTGCTGCCCCAAGGTCAGGTATCTCAATGCCAAAAGCTGAGACGCCGGCACTCCAATGTGGTAAGCAAACGTCTATTTATTGACGTGCAGCACAATAGGTAGTGCAATACCGGTTGCGCTGCACGTCAATAAATAGACGTTTGCTTACCACATTGGGGTGCCGGCGTCTCAGCTTTTGGTTATGTTTGTGATGGTTGTCACACGTCGACTACCGTAGCACCCGCTGTTTCAAGAGGGATTCTGCGGTCAGGGGTGCGATGGGACCATGGACTTTCCAGGTTACTCAATGCGACCCCTAAAACGCCAACCCCCAATGGGGAATGGCAGACCTGCAGGCTAATCTCTGCGACAAAACAAGCGGCGGCTTCCCCGCTGTACATTTAACTCTGCTTGCCCAAGGCAGGGCTAAAAGTAGAAAACAACTACCCGCCTGGCGCCCGGAACTGCATGTCCCGGGTATTGGGAGATAGCAATTCCACACCCCTGCTGCCCCTCTACTCTCTGCTGCCCCGAGGCCGGGCCTTGGTTGGCCTTGTGGGAAATCCGGCCCTGGTGGAACACAATCAGAAAAATGAACACAAGTAAAAATTTAAATGTTTGTTCAAAATTATATTATTGACAACAAGCATTCGGAATGGCCATGCGCATCCAAACCAGACAACGTTAAATCAACACACCACAAGAGGCATGACTCAGAAAATCCAGGATTTCCAGTCACCTCTCCTGTGCTCGTCAACATATCATGGAAACCAAACCAGTGCGCGGCGGGCGCCTATGTGTATCCGACCAGACGAGGGGTGCTGGGGAAGCTCTTCCTCATTCCCATACATTTCTCCTGGTCGATGAAGAGGGAGTTGGCTTTGATGGACAGGTCTTCTTCCAGGTTGGCCTTGGTATGAACCAGCATCTGTAGGGTGTCTTCGGCATCGCGGAGGCGTTGCTGCAACACCTGTATGGTGTCGTCGATTACATGGACCTCGTGGACAAGACTGCGAAGAGGAGCAAAAAATGGTTACATGGTAATAGATTGGGAAGTTAGAACAATTTGTAACATGATGTAGGGCCGTGCAGGGTCCCACCTGTGTTGGGAAACCTCCCTGTTGACTGTGTGGTAGGTGAGATTGGGAATTTGTGGCCTGCACATTCATGGGAGCAGACATCGGTGTTCCAAGAACAACAGTTTACCGGCAGCAAGGCAATAATAAAGTGAACCTGTTATGATACACATATGGGCGCTACCATTGCTCTTTGGCTTCCTGATTTTGTCATTCTTGGTATATTGCCTTATAATCCACAGCTAGAGGTGGTGGCCATTGTAGTCATGGTTGCCAATTAAATTGGAATTTCCCAATTCGGTCCTCAGCTCCAGACAAAAAAAGGGGATTGGAAATGGTTGTAGCTGTGACAAAGTGTGGTCACTCACATATCAGGGCTGAGCAAGGTTTCATTGGGTTTTAATTGGATTTGAAAGCTGAATTTCACGTTGTACCCACCATACCGCCATAGAGGTTGAGGGGAAATCTTCCAAGGGGGACACCTATTCCAGCAACAAATGTGTAAGCGCCTTAGAGAGATCTCCAAAAAGTGGCAGGGATCTTGACCTTTCCCCTACTCCAGGGGTAGTCAGCCTCTGCACTCCAGATGTTGTGGAACTGCAAGCCCCATTATCAGGGGCATAACTAGAAATCACAGGACCCCATAGCAAAATTTTGTATGGGGCCCTGTGATTTCTAGTTACACCCCTTGCAGAGCCCACTTGAGATCCCACACAACCCACCTGAGAGTGACCCTGCAGAGCCCACCATAGACTCTCTATGGTGGGCTCTGCAGGGTCTTAGGTGGGCTGGTCACACCCCTTACCTGTCAGCCTCCTCCACGGTCACTGGTGGCCCCGCCTCCTCCGACCCCCACCTCCTCCTCCGCTGCCGACCCCCACCTCCTCCTCCACTGCTGGGTCCAGCCTCCTCCTCCGCCGCTGCTGGCTGTCACTGAGTCAGCAGCGTCTGTGGAGAGGAACGCGCCGCTGCACGGATCACTGTCAGTGGCGCGTTCCTCTTCACAGCCGCCAGTGACAGCCAGCAGCATGAGATGCCATATCGACCCAGGCGGCCCGCATGGCATCAGAAGCCTGGGTCGCTATGGCGATTGTTACACCACTGCCCATTATGCATTACAAGACTCTGATAGCCACAAGCACTACTCTCAAAGGCAGAAGCATGATGCGATTTGCAGTTTCACCAAAGCAGGAATGCCAAGGTTGCCCACCCCTGCCCTCCTCTATCAAAAATCAAGTTTTGGTCTTATATACTGTATGTCCTTAATCATTGTCAGAGATCCTAACCCTTCCTCATTCTGCTCAAAATGTGTTTTTGTCTGTGCCCTACTTGGAAAGATTTCCTTTCAGGAAATGGGGGTAAATATTCCCAATACGAATGGCAATAAACACCCAACATAGGCATTAATCTTTCCCTGCTCTGTCTAAAACAAAATACTATTTGGGTTTGGGTTAAAGTGTCAGCAGCAGGTACCGTATCTGCGCACTGTCCCGGCACAGCTCCACGTTGGGGCGCCTTGTGCGTTCATCCAGACGGGTTTGGGCTACTCTCATGGGAGCCATTTTGTCCTTGATGGCCTTCTTGATGGCTTCAATTGTCATCTCTGTCTGAAAGATTTCCTGGAGAGTCTACAAAAAAAAAAATGTGAACAGTTATAAAAACTTGCGTGTATCTATCTCCACGGCTTCCAAAAAAAGTTATGAAAATTGAGGGGATGAAGAATGCAAAGTTCAAGCTAAAAATACCAGCCAATGGCGGTTAAACAATGTCAGAATTGCTTACATAAGTACCATTTTTAACAGTTGGCCACGGTGCACATGTGATAGAAAATGCTGCTTTATGGTCCAGGAAGAATCACATCTATTATTCGAACTCCGGCCCATAACTGGCAGCTCATAAAGGCGTAAAAATTCATTAATATGCGCATGGAGTAACCAAGAGGGACTAAAATGTTGGGAAACATTTTGGATGCCTTGCAAACACGCATTCAGATTGTGTGCAAAGGTTCCGAAGATTCCATTTCCTTGTCTTTCTGGCCCGGAGCCCAAGAAGCTTTCTGCCTGCTGCTCTCTCGTAGGTGTATGATTACACTACTTTACAGAGGAGGAAATTGTTTAAAGGGGTTTCCCACCTCTGCGTGATTTTATTTATTTTTTCAAAGACTTATAGAGTTATGGTTTTTTCTCTAGATTCTTTTTGTTGTTTCGGGTAAATTTTACAATCCTATTTGTATAGTCCTAAGGCAAATCCCATGGCAGTAGGAAAAAACACCACCATATAAATGTATAGAAAACAATGTAGGAGATTAAAGATATGCTGAGTTTACGAAAATGGCAGCGTTCAGTGAAAATGTCCAACACTACATCTCCCAAAATACTCTGCACTTCTGGAGGACTCTGCTCCTTCCTCCATCTAGCTCTCCCCTCCAGAAATACTCTGCTCTGCTGGAGGACTCTGCTCCTTCCTCCATCTAGCTCTCCCCTCCTGAAATTCTCTTCTCTTCTGGAAGACTCTACGCCTTCCTCCATCTAGCTCTCCCCTCCAGAAATACTCTGCTCTGCTGGAGGACTCTGCTCCTTCCTCCATCTAGCTCTCCCTCCAGAAATACTCTGCACTTCTGGAGGACTCTGCTCCTTCCTCCATCTAGCTCTCCCCTCCAGAAATACTCTGCTCTGCTGGAGGACTCTGCTCCTTCCTCCATCTAGCTCTCCCCTCCTGAAATACTCTGCTCTGCTGGAAGACTCTAGGCCTTCCTCCATCTAGCTCTCCCCTCCAGAAATACTCTGCACTTCTGGAGGACTCTGCTCCTTCCTCCATCTAGCTCTCCCCTCCTGAAATACTCTGCTCTGCTGGAAGACTCTACGCCTTCCTCCATCTAGCTCTCCCCTCCAGAAATACTCTGCTCTGCTGGAGGACTCTGCTCCTTCCTCCATCTAGCTCTCCCCTCCAGAAATACACTGCACTTCTGGAGGACTCTGCTCCTTCCTCTAACTCTTCTCCTAACTACATAATTATTCTGATCTATCTTCCTGCCTACCTCCAATACCCTCTTCTCATCATTATGCTGCCACTGTCTCCTGCAGACCTGTCCTGATATAACCACATGGGTGGATATAACCACATGGGTGGACATTTAAAAATTATACACTTTTGATCCTTCAGTCCTTCCATAAAAGAAGGAAGGTTTGGGATCTGCTCAAAGAGAGATTTTCCAGCATACTCAGTATCAGGAGCATTGCTTGTACATATTGAGCAGTCTATGGCCACCAAGACTCTAAATGGCTGTAGACATCCTGTCTTCACCAGCTTCAAAGTTGAACACAGGCCCAACGTTGTACCTTTGCTAGGTGACTTTGGAGCTTGTTCTTGGCTTCCGCGGTCTCGGAGATCCGGTTGGTGAACATGACATTCACTCGGTTAAACTGGCTCCACATCTCATTGGAAGTGGCATTTAGTAAATTTTCGACATCCTCTCTGAGCTTGGCGGAGGTGGCTCTCTCACACTGTGACCTCAAGATGTTAT